TAAATTATTTCTCTCAGAGAGGAATATTAGTTTCTTTTAATTTTTTATCCTAATATAATTACACTATTTTCCTTTTTTTTCCTTACTAAAACAGTCTCCCATATACTATTCGTTGCTCTTTTCAAATTCTTATTTGTTAAATTTTTGTCATATGTGTGTATGTATCCTAATGTATATGAGTACAGACTCCCAAATCATTCTTGGCTACTCCTATTACTCTTGGTTGCCCTCCAAAACTGAAAGGCCTGTTTGTATTGCTGAAGGCTCTATGTGCTTCAGAAGCAGAACTGAAGAATCTTGAGCTCATAGTGACTCTGAACTCTGTGATATTTGGGGCTGTATTTTGTAGAGGTGGTAAATGCAGTAATAGTTTTAAGGAAACTACTTGGAGCAATGTGGTTTAAGATAAAAAACTCCCCTACTTATTTATACTAACATAAATTAGAAAACCATAGCTTAGAGTCTTAGAATATTACTTTTGTTTATTTAGCTTAGAAGTAAATAAGTTTTAAATCTTTACAATGCATCATCTTATAGTTGACAGAAATTGCAATTTTTCCCTGATTAATGTAAATATTTCACTAGGGAAAACACATAAGCACAAAGCTAATATATACCAACGGACATTACCCCAGACTCATTTTTTATTAAAAAAATATTATCCAGAATAGCTTAATTTTTACATAATTTCATATTTTATTTCATAAAAGTCTTAAAATTAACAAAAATTTATGAATTTGTAAATACAAGTAAGATAATTTAAAGATAAAATACAAAGTCAATAATTGAAATATTGTAGTATTGCTTAATCCTGTCTTTCAAAGGCCACAGGCAGACCAGTAATGCCAAAATCTCATGGACTGAAAATGTCTCCATTGGAGATATTCCCTTGCAATTTAGGTACAGACCTTAGAGTATAATTAAACACAAACCCCAAGAGATCAAATGTGGCAACTTGCAAGCTGCTTTATTATGTGAGTTTAAGAGTTTGGAGAGGTCTCTGTATCAGAGTCTGCACAGCACAGATTGTTGGAGAAAATCCTTTGTTGTGGAGCCTTTTTATAAATATTCTGGCAATGAATCATTTTGAACAGGATTGAGGAAAAATAGGAGTTATAATTTGCAGAAAGAAATAAAAATACTGTCTTAGTTAATTTACCTTTTATTTCTAATTCATTACGGAAAGGCAAATTATCAAATATTGTCACAGGCACTAACAGTTATCAATATCATGATATGTACACTGGTCCACAGTAGAGGAAAATAACTGCTAAATAACACCATCAACAGCAAGACTGGTAACCATGGATCAAGTTCACTGTGTCAATGAGCCATGGAACTTAAATCTTCAAAAGAGGTAAAAGTAATTTATATAGAAGTAAATATATGGTTGGAGAAAGAGAAATAGACTTTCTATACAAGTCATGTAAGCATCATAATCTTTTCATAACTCATAAACAAGTGTCTCTAGATATGTCTATAAAAATTTTATCTATGCTTTTCACACTAGAAAGCTTTTTCCTCTTAAAATATGCATGTTCCAGTTGGTTCCTAAGAAAGTTAATTTATTACTTTATAGAATTGTTAATTGACTATATCAAAATAAAGCCAACTGTCAAGCATAACACTTGGATATTCTGAATAACTTCATAGAAGTTGAATGGTAGATAACTTAGCAGCCTCCTTTAATCAGGCTACATGAGTAGATATGGTACAGACTCTGAAATTAACTTTTGCTAAGAAGAAGAAATGTTAGGTCATGCTAATTTAACTGGCATGTAGGTTGCATAACAGTTGGGTGACAAGCTTATGTAGAGGCTTCCTGTTAACAACATCCTAAAGGTCAGTTTTGGAGACATTGAGGATAGAGTAAATTCTATTTGCCTCTCTTGTGTTTCAGGCATTTATAATATGAACATAGACTCTGAGATTATTCACTAGGCAAGGGAATCTATAGCCCTGTATTCTGAGACATGAGGAGTAACTCATTTTTAGATTAAAAAGGCTACACTTTTTGTGGGGAAGCAGGCCGATCTTACCATAACTTGTTGACCTGTACTGAAAGAAGTGATCAAGTCTATGGAGCCAGAGATGGTCAGGTCTCTGCAGCCGGAGGAAGAAGCAGCAGATTTCTGGCAGGTCTTATTTCTCAAGCTTCCTTGTCCTGCAACTGATTTTGGTGAAATGGTGCTCCATTTAAGGGAATGACTTAAGTCTGAGGCTCCTGCTATGTAAGTGTATTGTAAATTTAACATATTCTAATCAAGTTTTCCAAGTGATTTTTATATACTCTATTTAGATATTACTTTATATCAAATAGCTCTTAAGTTAACTTTGTTTTGCTTTACTTTAGGCTTAATTTTGACAACATATACAGAGTACTGTATGATGTTAGATTATAATTGCTCTATCCCTCAAGCTTTTTTCTGAAAAAATTACATCTATACTGATAATAATTACCTTGCATATCTTAATTACCTTTAACATGTTACAACAAGTTGGTATCTTTTGTTAAGGTTATGGCTTTGCAGTTTTATCACTGTTAAGTTTGATTCTTATAGAAAGTACATGAATTAAATATTCTTTAGTATCAAAATAAACTTTATACCATAAACACAGTGGACAGAGACTGGGAACCTAATTTTCTTGTCCTTTTATACTATACTTTTATAAAATATCAGGTTTTTTATATGACTCAATTTTATCAAATAGCTAAGTTATATCCTAAGCCCTCACACTATTCAGGAGAAATGAGTTAAATGAAGTAGCTTCTTTTTAACCTGGGATCACCTGTGGTGCTTTGATAATATAATTTAGTCTTTGACCAGATAGAGAACTTCAGGAACAGCACATATCCTCTTACCTTGAAGCTTACATAGAGTACACAAACTTTGGAGGTGATACTTTGGATATATTTTAAGAAATTCCAAAGCCAGTGTTTGTTATTAATTAATAACAAACTAACTTAATTTGGTTATTTTGCTTTTCAAATTTTTCTAAACAACATATCTATTTTTAAATAGAATGATATTAAGTAATGTGCTCACAGCTGTCAATATGTGATGACCTAGAGATCCTTCCATTGACAAAAGTACTAGAAGAGTCGGCTGCCGGGCAGTGGTGGTGCACACCTTTAATCCCAGCACTTGGGAGGCAGAGGCAGGCAGATTTCTGAGTTCGAGGCCAGCCTGGTCTACAGAGTGAGTCCCAGGACAGCCAGGACTACACACAGAAACCCTGTCTTGAAAAAACCAAAAAAAAAGAAAAAAAAAGGAAAGAAAAAGAAGAGTCGGCTGTACCCTTTGTTAATTCAGTCCACAATGAAACAATTGATATGTAAATTATCATAGATCTAGCATGCCTGACTTCTTTCATCTTTCATCTGTTGACTGAGTTTATGGAATGCGAATATAGATATTTTTAAAAGGTCTATTAATGGTGTAAATTTTAGAAACTCTTTCTCGTTGTTTAGTTTAAACTTTGTAAAATGAATTATTTACTTTTGACATGGTAGTCAGTGGCTGGGGTAATAATTTAGAGAGTCATAGAGTATTCCAGAAAATTTCCTGTTGAGAAGAAAGCAAGGCAGGCTCTGAGAGTAATTTTAAATTAAAAATAATTTCTTTTAGGAGAATATAGCTTAGAACTAAATTTTCTCTTTATACAGTGTGACAATATAAAATATACTTCTGTATATAAATATAATGACTTGATGTTAACAAAATGTGTATTAATAACATTGTTTCTAACAAAAAGTTAGTTCAGTGACAAACAAGTGAATACTCATTGATCAGCTTCTTTATAATAAATAAATAAATAAATAAATATTTGGACATTTAGGGGAATGAGGCACATCAAATGGTCATTTAGAATAAACATGATTCAAGTTTCGTTGGCATGATGTATTAAATATAAAAACAAATTTGCTTTATGTGCATGCTACTTTCATTTTTTCTTATGTGTTTGTCAGTGCGTTGATAAAGTAACTTCTCCCATTTGAATGTAGTCCCCTTCTAACTCTTTGATTTAAATATTTGTTTTCAGCATTTTCTTCATAGCATTGGGAACTAGGTTTGAACAATGAACTTACTTCCTGATGTTGTATGCTGTAATTGGATATACTCATGTCCTCTACCTTCATAGATGAAAGAAATGGAACTATGTTTTAAATTAAACTGTGCAGCAGGTCTTAAATCATCACTGGACAGAAAGTACAAGTGACAGAAAATAGAGAAGCATGATGAAATGTTTTTGTAAATACCACTTTAGCTAGATGTTTATAGTTTTCTAATATGAAAACTAACCGAAATGTACTGATTCTGAGACCATACTGGATGTTTTCATTTTGTCTACAACTTAAGATTGCAATATGACATTATACTTAAATGCATGACTTATATTTTCTTTCTTCAAGGCTTTATATATCCTATGGCAACAATACAATTGAGTCCAGTAAATAAATTGATGGGAGTAAAATTTTGTCCCAATGATAGAGTTGGGTAGAATATAGAGAAACTTAGCAGAAGTATCTTATAACTATTACAGGCATGATGTCTTGATGTTTTAAAGCATTAAAAATTCTACATAATCATTCATTTCATTATACAATAGCATCTGTCATTTTCTTTAAAATAAGTCAGATGCTGTAGATGTGGCTCAGAGGTTAAGTGCACCTAATGCTTCTTCAGAGGACCAGAGTTTGCTGAACTTCACCCACATCAGGCAGGCCCACACAACATGAAACTTCACCATCCAACAACCCCGTCTGGTATTTCCAGGGATCTTCAATCAGGTACACACACATACAGACACAAATAAAATATTGTTAAATGAAAATTAATAAAAACTATATAACATTATCTTTCAACATTTACTACCTAACCATTTTGCTCTCAGTGCTGGAGGACAGTCACTGATTGTTGGATCTTTTGTCTTTAGTGTTTCTTTACTTTCTCAATGTTTATTCAAGTTTAAGTCAGTGGTTATTTACATCAGTAACGATGACAGAGAATAATTTCACAAAAGTGACAGTCTTCATGCTCAGTGGATTTTCAGATCACCCAGAATTACAAGTCAGTCTGTTCTTAATATTTCTTTTCATCTATTTATTCACTGTGTGGGGCAACATTGGATTAATCATGTTAATTAGAATTGACTCTCAGCTTCACACACCTATGTACTTTTTCCTCAGCAATTTATCATTCATTGATATATTTTATTCCTCCACTGTAACGCCCAAGGCACTAGTCGATTTCCAGTCGACACAGAAATCAATATCCTTTGTAGGCTGCTTTGTTCAGATGTATTTCTTTGTTGGTTTGGTGTGTTTTCTTCTGGGATCAATGGCTTATGATCGCTTTGTAGCAATCTGCAACCCCTTACTATATTCTGTGATTATGTCCCAGAAAGTGTGCATGTGGTTGGCAGTAATACCATACATTATAGGCTTCACAAATTCTCTGATATCCATCTGTGTGATAAGCAGTTTGCCTCTCTGTGATCCCTACATCAATCATTTCTTTTGTGATACCACGGCTCTTTTAGCCCTATCCTGTGTAGATGCCTTCAACACGGAATTGGTGATCTTTGTTCTAGCTGGTTTCACACTTCTCAGTTCCCTTCTCATTATCATTTTCACTTATGTGACCATCATCTCAGCCATCCTTAGGATACAGTCAACAGCTGGCAGGTGGAAGGCTTTTTCTACATGTGCCTCTCACCTCACAGGTGTCACTGTCTTCTATGGCTCCTTGATTTTCACCTATTTGCAACCTGATAACACATCATCCCTCACTCAAGCACAGGTAGCATCTGTGTTCTACACCATTGTTATTCCCATGCTGAACCCACTGATCTACAGTCTGAGAAACAAAGATGTGAAAAATGTTCTTCTGAGAGTCATCCAAAGAAAACATTTTATGTAACAATCGTGTCCACTGCAATTTAAAAAGACCTAGATAATTTAAAATAGTTGCTTTAATGGTTAGGAAGTAGAGTAACTTTAAAAACCATAATGCAAAACGTATTGATAATGTAGTATCTTATAACTTGAAATGTGCATCATTATTTGTTCATGGGATATACTAAATTCATTAAGAGGTTATTTAAGTTCATAAATTGTTCACCTAATAAAAATATATAAGGCGATTGAAATACATCTGTGCACATTTCGATGAACATATCATGACACTAAGTCATAAGCATTCTTTTGTACAGATTATTTTCTATGTGATTGTTTTGGATAATTGTATATATGTACAACACCCATGTGTGCCTGGTGCACATGGAGACGAGAAAAGGACATCCCATCTTCTGACACTGGAGTCACAAATGGTTGTTCGCTACCACTTCAGTGCTAGATCCAACTTGGGTCATGCAGGAGCAGACTATTGACCAACTTAACCATAACAAGTTCCGGTTTTGTACTACTTACATGTAATACATGGGTTGTGGGTTAGATTTGCAGACTTATGCTCAGATCACTTATAAAATTTCTACTTTTGTGTGATACACAATCAGTAAATTTTACCTATAGTTATTTTTAAATTTATTTAGTGTTACAAACATCATAATTATAAAGTTCTACATTGTTTAAGTGTGTTAAAATTTTGTTTCTGTATTGTTAAAGTATTTTATTCACTGTTTGAATTTGGCATAACTGTGTAGAAATGTGTTACTTCTACTATTTTTTCTTTGTGAATGTTTAGGATGAGGAAATGAGCGCTCAAAGATGTATAGACTCTGTTTATGACCTCACCTAATTAAATTCACCTGGTTTGGAGTCATCATGTCTTTACATTTTAAATAAATATCTCATAAAGAGAATCAATCTTCATTCTTTTTGGTTTGTTTGTTTTATTCATTATTTTATTTATTTACATTTCAAATGTTATCTCCCTTCCCGGTTGCCCAGCCACAAACACCCTATCCCATCCCTCCTCCCCCCTACTTCTATGAGGAGCCCCAACCCACCCACTCACTCCTGTCTCACCTCTTTAGCATTCTTCACAGGGCAAAGGACCCCCCCTTCCACTGATGCCAGAAAAGACACTCCTCTGCAAAACATACAGCTGGAGCCATGAGTCCCTCCAAGTGTACTCTTTGGTTAGTGGTTTAGTCCTTGGGAGCTTTGAGAGGTCTGATATTGTCCTTCTTCCTATGGGATTACAGACCCATTCAGTTCGATCAATACTCCCCTAAACTCCTCCATTGGGTTTCATGTGCTCAGCCCAATGGTTGACTGCAAGCATCTGCATCTGTATTTGGTCAGACTCTGGCAGAGCTTTTCAGGATACAGCTACATCAAGCTCTGTCAGCAAGCACTTCTTGGTATCTGCAATAGTGTGTGTGTTGGTGTCTGTGTATGGGATGGATTCCCAGTTGGGGCAGTCTCTGGATGGCCTTTCCTTCAGTTTCTGCTCCACACTTTGTCCCTGTATTTCCTTTAGACAGGAGCCATTTTGAGTTAAAAATTTGGAGATGAGTAGGTGGCCCCATCTTCCAACCTTGCCTAACTTCTGGATATGGTCTCTACAGGTTCTCCCTCATCTTTGTTAGGTATTTCAGCTAATGTCATCCCTGATGGGTCCTGGGAGGCTTTTGCTTTCCTGGCAACTGGGACTTTCCCCATCCCCCACTTCTCCACACCTCTGTTCAACTTCCTGACACCTTCCCCATTCCAGAGTTCTGAGCTCAATTCCCAGAAATCACATCGTGGCTCACAGTTATCTATAATGGGATGTGATGCCCTCTTCTAGCATGCAGGTGTACATGTGGCAAAGATGGTATTCGATTTTCATTCTTATGAAAGAAGATGCAGGTATTCTTGTGTGAAATCTTGCCTTATTCCTTATGCCTTATTGCCTTATTAGTATTAATAAAATTTCACATCTAATTATCTTGCTTCTTGTGTTTGATATATTACCTGTACGTATCTAGCAGTGAGGATAACAGTGCTTTTATTCCTGTTCATGAGAGTGATAGATTCTATTTGCCAAAATAATATGTAAACATCTATATATGATACTTTAAGATATTTACCTTCTTTATCCACTTTCTACCCATTTGTCTTGCATTTTTCTTTTACCTCTCTACCCAGTAGTTTTTCTGTTTCTACTCTTTAGTAATTTCTTTTTCATTACTACTCCAGATTTTATGTTCATTTTCATACTAGATGAGTAAGGACACAATCTTTATATTGTATGTTCCACCAGTAGAATGTTGTATATATTCCAGTTGTTGAAAAGTAAAAAAAAAGGCACTGGATTAAAATGCATTGCATCACCCTTTAAAATACTGTGACTGTTCCACTCAGTGTTCTAGATGTAGAGTAGCTTCATGATATCTTTTCAGTTTCCTTGGAGTTTGCATTCTTTTTCACCATCTTTAAAGTATATTTTTATATTAAAAGAGTAATAAGTTTTAAATCTACCTTAATTCAAGAAAATATTTCAGACGTTGCAGAAGAAACAGATATCAATGAAATGAAAAGATATTGAGAGAAAATTCTTCTGAATATATGCATGTATATGTATATATATTAACCTTTGTACTTTACAGATCTATACAATAACTTAACATATTTGCAAAAGTTTAAATGTAACTTGAAGACATATTGAACTAATAAATTTATAAGATCTTTCTAGTGATCCTAAGTTAATTACTCTCTAATATATAAATAAATTTATATTTCACAGTAGAGATTATCTATATAGATAAATTCTTCATACTACTCAAAACTCATTACATTTGCTAACTTTCTTTTACAACATTAAATATAGATTAAGGATATAATATTGACTACAGTTAATAAAATTAGAGAAATATATGTGCTCAAGTAAGTGTTATTTACACACAAAGAGAAGAGATTTGAGGAAAAATAAAATACTGTTAGCAAAATATCAAGAATGAGTTTCAATTCGTTTTATTTACTTTTTGAAATCTGTTACACTTTAACCTTTTCTTTGGTTAGCATATCTTGCTCTATGAGATAAATGCTTTCAAATGTTGACACTAATGAAATTATTTTTCATCTTAATGATATGAGACATTTTAAGTATTTTAAACCTAAATATTTCTCTGAACATTACTTTTTACCCTAAAAAAATTACCTGATGTGATCACTATGCAATATAATATACTAACTAGGTCAATTTAAAAGCAAATAGTTACTTCTTATTATGAAGCATCAGTAACAAAGACCTAGTGCATGTGTGGTTCAGGATAGAGATTCTGAGAAAACAAGTCATTGCTCATTTGCCCTTGAACATTTTACCTTGAACATGTGCCAAGCATACTCCCCTGGAATTCGTTCCCTAAAGATGAGATCATCAGTGTTGGTTATATTAAATACCTGCTTCAGCAGGATGAGAGGCAATGTATTACACTATGAGAATTTTTAAATATTTGAGATATTGGAGATAAAATTTCTTATTAAAATTTTCATTTAGTCTAAAAACAAACAAAATTTTGTGGTTGACTGCTTTCATTGAGAATTAAAATAAAATGAATGTACAAAAATCTAAAAATAACCACTCCAAGGAAAACAATGTTATAGAACCATACAAGTTATTTAAAAGCTTTCATACTTTATACACTAGAAAAATTTAATGTTAGAACATTAATAAACTATAGTTCTGAAAGAACTCTCCTCATAATCCTTGCCTCACAGTAAGTATCCTCAACTTTATTTGGATTGTTTTAAACCATTTTGCTCATGTCTTAACATGAACAGTGTTAATATTTGCAGAAGTAGAAATGAAATGTTGCAAAAGTCAGGGTCTACATTCAATGTAACTCTTTTGAAGTCCTTTTAAGGTGTAGTTTGGTCAATTATTATAATATATATAATTCTAATTTACCACAATAAAGTGATTAATGATTTAAATTATCTTAAGATTAAAGAGGAACTAAATAGTATATTGCAGATATTTTATAATATTTTTGATTAATTATATATCTTGACTTTGATTTTTTTAAAACACTATAAATTCTGGGATTGAGAATATGGGAGGAATCATAGTGCTTTAATTGTTCTTCCTTCAGATAAGTTTTCTTAACTTTAATTAGCTTCTTTTATTTTTTATTAAATACATAGTTCACTGCAACTACTGTAGTATTATGTACTCATAAATATTAAAGGTGTTCAAGAAGCCAAGAAATGTGAACAAAAACTTTCTTAATCTAATACTTAAATATAAGTGACTTTATATTTGCATTCAAAAATGCTTAAATCAAACCCTTAGCTTTAGCTCCATATAAGTGCTTATTAAGGTTTTAAATAAAATGGTAAAGACATAGAGGTTAAGGGAACTGACTCTTTTAGAGGATAGGTGTTCAATTCAGAGTACATATCTGGCAGCTAACAAGTGACTATTACTAAATGCCCAGAAATCTGACTCCCACTTCTATCTAGCTTAAATGCACTCTTCAAGTACATGATGCACAGACATACATGCAATTAAAACATTCATACACATAAAGCAAAAACAAATACTTCAGCTAATTTACTACATTGACAAAAAAATAATATGGCCTATGTTAAATGACTATAGACTGACATAGACTTTTGGAATTGATTTTATTTAAAACTTTAGGTTTCTGAGCTTTATAATATGAAAATTAAAATGATTAAAATTAAAATTAAAATTAAAATTAATATGATTATGACGATGATGATGATGATAATAATAATAGCATCTATGAGTTATAAATTCAGTAGATAGACATTATATGCTACAATATTTTCAATTTCTTCCCAACATTAAAACTACTTGTAATTGAAAGGGAACCAAACAAGGATAAGGAAGTGAAATGTCATATTTTTAATGATGCCATGCCTGAAATGAATATTAAATCTTAATTTTGAAACATTATAAAATATAATTACTATTAATTACAAAAAATGCAAATATTTTCTCTCACATTGTAAAGTGTAAGACTATAGTGCAAATGTTCTACACCCTCATCTGAACACACACATTGTAAATTCTTTGTGTACACAAAGGCCCTGATACTCTCTAGGAATTTTAAGTAGCTGTGCCCTCTTTGCCTTCCTTCATTTCCTTGGCAGGGATCATTTTAAGCTAGACAGTATTGAAAGACTTTGAGGTTAGATCTTTACCAATGGGGAAAAAGATCAGAAGCCCTCTGCCTGAGTGCACTTTCTGCTTTGAGATAGTTTGTTTTTCCAAGCACAGGTTCTTGGTTAAGAGAAAAGTTCTGGCATGTTCAGAAATCTTATTTGAAGTAAAGTCTCTTTCTTTGTGACCCTGAATGATTTTTTTTAAGATTCAAAAATATTAATTCATATATGCAACAATATCTGACAATTTATCTTTTATTTTCTATAAATTATGCATTTCTTGGGAATACAAATCTAAATTCATGCTCCTTTGAGCAAAACTCTACAGAAAAGACCAGATAGTTGAACACAGTTCTGAAGAGTTATTTGACCTTTTCAGACTCTTTATTTAAAATGTATGCTTGCCAATAGTACCTAAGGACAAATATTTGATAATAATTAAGTTGTTATTAAAGGAAATCATTTAGAATACCACCACTGTAATTAAAAACATGAATTATGTCACCTCTTCCAGTGTCTTAGCCAAATATGAGTTTTTACCTCAATCTATCCTCAATATTTTTTCATTCGTATACTAAAAATTATATCAATATTGAGCCAACCAAAACAACAAACATACCAGCATGTACATTTAAAGAAAACTTTTTTTAAAAAGTTAATCAAGATGTGTATTGCATTTGATTTCTTTTCAGTTTTAGGGTTGTTCACTATGACCACTTGGAATTATACAAAAGAGTCTGACTTCATCCTTATGGGACTGACAGATTCCAAAGAGATACAGCTAGTCCTTGCTGTTCTGTTTCTCCTGATATACCTGGTCACTGTGTTGGGGAACACAAGCATGATGCTGATCATTCGTATAGAAGCTCAGCTTCACACCCCAATGTATTTTTTTCTAACACATCTGTCATTCCTTGACCTCAGTTACTCAACTGTCATCACACCTAAAACCTTCGAGAACCTCTTTACCTCCATCAAAAATATTTCTTTCATAGGTTGTTTCACCCAACTGTACTTTTTTGTTTTGTTTGGTGGTGCTGAATGTTTTCTTCTCTCATCCATGGCATATGACCGCTACGTAGCTATATGCAATCCTCTGCACTATCCAGTTGTTATGTCCAAAAGACGATATCATGCCCTCCTCACTGGTTCCTACCTGATGGGAGCTATAGATTCTTCTATCAATATGCTTTGTCTAAGCAAGATGGATTTCTGTGACTCTCATGTCATCAATCACTTTTTCTGTGACACACCTGCAATTTTAGCTCTGTCTTGTAATGATACATATGTCATTGAAATGATAATAATCATTGTCTCTGGTTCAACTCTAATGGTGTCCCTTCTTACCATATCAATGTCTTATGCATCCATTCTCTCTACCATCTTGAAAATCAGTTCTACTTCAGGAAAGCTAAAAGCCTTTTCCACTTGTGCCTCTCATCTACTGGCAGTCACCATATTTTATAGTACTATGATCTTCACTTATTTAAAACCAAAGAGATCCTATTCTTTAGGAAAGGATCAAGTGGCTTCTGTCTTCTACACAATTGTGATCCCCATGCTGAATCCACTCATTTATAGTCTCAGAAACAAAGAAGTAAAAAATGCTGTCAGCAGAATTATGAAGAAAAGGGAGGACTCCAGATAATAAAGATAGGAGTGGTACTCAGCACTTGGACTTTTCTCTTTTTATTTTCCAGTTAGTTCTTTCCTTGTTCTCTATCAAAAATGTATGGTATGCATAATTTAAATCTGTGTGGAGCTGTTCTTTGTATAATATAACTTGATCTTAGATATTACTGAGGAAACATTTTAGAAATCTACATAATAATGTGAAATAATATTATATGTATTAAATCAGTGGTCTAAATATTTTGATTTAAGGACAAATGTATGGAAAACTAGAAACAATGATCTTCAGTCTTAAAATTATATTGTATACATGTTGTAACTTTAGAGAATTATAAAGCAATAATGTTTGCATAATGAGAATAAGGGCATTCAATTTTTAATATCTAGAAGGAATCCATTGAATGGTTTTGTGGTCTTGTTTTTGAAACAGAGATTATGAGTTTTGGACTCTAGATTTAGTATGCTTTAGTTTTAGGGTATTAGGATCTTAATGGTTAAGGCTATTTCCTCTGGGATCGAAGGCTCAGCAATTAGGAACACACATTTCTATGGTAAAGGACTCAAGTATCCAGAACCAACATCAGGTAGCTCACAACCTAATTTCTTTTAACTCCAGCTCGAGAGAAGCCAAGACCCTATTAGGGGCTCCTGATCTCATATGGACTTAGCTACACACATACACACGCACACACACACACACACATAAATTAAGTTTTAAAGAGACTATTTCCTCAGTTCTGCAGCATACAAAAAAATAACCTTAAATTCATCTGATTAGGTGATAGATGTTGGGATGTAAGATATAATCATGAAACATAGCATAGTCATACAAGGTTTATAATCCTGCAATATTTTCAATGTGTATTGCATTTGTTAAGGAATTTCTTTTTGTATCTTACAAATTTATTTTAAATATGATAATAGAAAATGCATAAAAAACAAAAAACCCACATTTTCAGCTTACATTTTGTCAAAAATAAATTGTAAGAAATTGTATATTAATGTTGGAACCAAAGTGGAATATATTATACACTATTAAAGTAAAATTGTTTTATAATTTTTGGCAATTTTGTGTATGTTTTACTATGTCATCCATATTAATATACACCATTTTTTAAAAAAATGTTTTATTTACTCTAAGCTGTTATACAGCTTTCTTATTTATTTGATTATTGCTTATCTTCAATCTTTTTTTTTACAGGTAAGTTTCTATCCCCCTCTAGGTCTGCTATCCCACAGTTCCTCATCCCATTCCTTCTCTCCTTTCTCCCAGAGTAGGTACCCACCTCCTACCCACCTCTCTTCACCCCAACTCACCCTACCCTACCCTACCCCTCCAGGAGTCCCCAATCACTGGGGTCTCAAGTCTCTCAAGGGTTAGATGTGTCTTCTATCATTGAGGTCAGACCAGGCAGTCTTCTGCTGTATATGTGTCTGGGGCCTGAGAGCAGTGGTATGCTGCCTGGTTGGTGGCTCAGTGTCTGAGAGATCTTAGTGATTCAGGTTAGTTGAGACTGCTGATCTTCCTATGGGGTCACCTCTCTGTATCAGCTTCTTCTAGCCTTTCCCTAATTCAAATACAGGGATCCCACACTTCAGTCCATTATTTGAGTGTAATTTGGATCTCTTGGAGGACAGCAACAGCTTTCTTTTTTCATTGAAAGATTTAGTGTTTGAGATTTACTTTGTCAATGAATCACACACACACACACACACACACACACACCACAGACTTACACAAAATAAAACCTTATTGTAACAAAACTCCAGTATTTGTATTTGCAAAATATTTGAGAAATGTGTTTTTCTGTGACTTATGAAGAAGCCATAGTGAACTGCCTTTATTTGCATTTCAAGTGTAATCCCTTTTCCTTGTTTCTTCCTCCCGCAAAACTCCCAATCCCATCCCCTTGCCCTGTTTTTATGAGGGTGTTCCCCCAGACACCCACTCACTCCTGCCACCCCGCCCTGGAATTCCCCTACACTGGGGCATCAAGCCTTCATAAGACCAAGAACGTCTCCTCCCATTGATGCCTGGCAAGGCCATCCTCTTCTACATATGTGGCTGAACCCATAGGTCCCTCCATGTATACTCTTTGTTAGGTGGTTTAGTTTCTCAGAGCTCTGGGGGTGGTCTGGTTGGTTGATATTGTTCTTTCTGTGGGGTTGCAAAACCCTTCAGCTCTTTCAATTCTTTCTCTAACTCTTCCATTGGTGACCTTGTGCTCAGTCCAATGATTGGCTGTGGACATCTACCTCTGCATTTGTCAGGACCTAGCAAAGCCTCTCAGGAGACAGCTATATCAGGCTCCTGTCAACGTGCACTTCTCAGCATCCACAATAGAGTCTGGGTATGGTGACTGTGATGGCAGTCTCTAAATGGCCTTTTCTTCAGTCTCTGCTCCACATTTTGTTTCCAACCGTCCTCCCATGAGTATTTTGTTCCCCCTTCTAAGAGGGACTGAAGCACCAATACTCAGGTCTTCTTTGTTCTTGAACTTCATGTGGTCTGTGAATTGTATCTTGGGGTATACTGAGCTTTTGGACTAATATCCTCTTATCAATGAGTGCATACCATGTGTGTTCTTTTGTGATTGGGTTACCTAACTCAGAATGATATTTTCTAATTCCATCCATTTGCCTAAGAATTTTATGATGTAATTGTATTTAAAAGCTGAATAGTACTCCATTGTGTAAATGTACCACACTCAGGATAGCAAAGGCTATTTTCAACAATAAAAGAACTTCTGGGGAAATCACTATCCCTGACTTCAAGCTGTATTACAGAGCTTTAGTGAAAGAGATAGTCAGGTAGATCAATGGAATAGAATTGAAGACCCAGAAATGAACCCATACTCTTATGGTCACTTGATCTTTGACAAAAGAGCTAAAACCATCCAGTGTGTGTGTGTGTGGGGGGGGAAGACAGCATTTTCAACAAATGGTGCTGGATCAACTGGCAGTCAGCATGTAGAAGACTGCAAATCAATCCATTCTTATCTCCTTGTACAAATCTGAAGTCCAAGTGGATCAAGGATCTCCACATAAAACCAGATACACTGAAACTAATATAAAAGAAAGTGGGGAAGAGCCTTGAACACATGGGCACAGGGGAAAATTTCCTGAACAGAACACCAATGGCTTATGCTCTAAGATCAAGAATTGATAAATGGGACCTCATAAAATTGTAAAGCTTCTGGAAGGCAAAGGACACTGTCAATATGACAAAGTAGCAACCAACAGATTGAGAAAAGGTTGTTTCCAATCCTACATCCCATAGAGGGCTAATATTCAATATATACAAAGAACTCAAGAAGCTAGACTCCAGAGAATCAAATAACTCTATTAAAAATGGGGTACAAAGCTAAACAAAGAATTCTCAACTGAGGAATATTTAATGGCTGAGAAGCACCTAAAGAAATTTTCAACATCCTTAGACATTAGGGAAATACAAATCAAAACAACCCTGAGATTCTACCTCACATCAGTAAGAATGGCTAAGATCAAAAACTCAGATGATAGCAGATGCTGGCGAGGATGTGGAGAAAGAGAGACACTCTTCCATTGTTGGTGGGATTGTAAGCTGGTACAACCACTTTGGAAATCAGTCCAGCTGTTCCTCAGAAAATTAGGCACAGTATTACTTGAGGACCCAGCTATAAACTCCTAGGAATATATACAAAAGACACTCCAACATATAACAAGGACAAACGCTCTACTTTGTTCACAGCAGCCTATTTATAATAGCAAGAAGCTGGAACAATCCACATGTCCTCCCTCATTCTTTATTTACTTCTCTTGACTCTTCCTAAGAAGCCCACTTTTTCCCATTTCTCCATTAAAACATTTGCATTCAACTACTACTACTGTTTACCCACCTTCTGTATTTACCTTCCTGTTTTTCTAAATTTAAAGTTATTAAATTATTAACTTCTAAATTAAAGAGTCACATTTTTACTGCAATGGTGAAAATCAATTTGTAAAATAAAATATACATTTACAGCTTGTTTTCAATTGGGTTGACAATGTTCACACAGAAATTCTAAACTACATAATAAAAGATTCAATAGCAGATACGATAAGCCCTTTTTGGTCAAGGTTTTCAAAGGGACTCTCAAGCACACAACCTATTGCTATTATCCTTGGTTTCTCCTCAGAAGTCTAAACTAAGTCCTTCTTGCAGAAAGCACCACGAACTTCTGAAACAAGACCCATAGTTCTCTAAGATTGAAGTGAATTGAATGCCTCATGTCTGAAGATTTGCTTTCATGGTACTGAAAATTGTCACATAGTCTTAAAAAGGTGAGCAGCAACTAAGATTTCTACCCAGCTAGGATGCCTATGAGCCATATTAATGACCTAAGAGAAATCTAAGGATATAGAAATGGCATACAACGTTTGGTGATAATGCACAGTTTTCTAATTGGATTTAAGACCCACTCAAAAAGTGGGAAATCATGCCTGGTACTTGACACCTTCCTAAGTACTCAGTACCAGTGATTACTGGAGAAGAATCTAGAACCACTATTTTAGTGAGGCAAAATAATCCCTAACAACAATCTATAAACCTTTGCTCTTATATCCATAGGTAAGTACAATCTTCAAACCTCATCAAGAAAACATCTCTTTGCATCAGACAAAGACCAGCACAGCAAACTACAACAAATGAACATACAGAATTGTGAAAGTCCAGCCCTAATGAATACCTTCAAAGCCTTCCGAAACCCAAGGCTCAGGGAACACTGTAGATGAAGAGGCAGAAAATAGTAAGAGACAGAAGATCAAAGAGGTTGTTGTGAGAGTGGGTCTCATAGTTAGATTGTTTACCCCAATAGTGACACTAACAAAACTCACTAAACATGAACAAACAAGGAAGGTGCCAATTGACATACTATAAAAAGAGGAAGAAAATATTTTAGTGGGAGAATAACACCTATTTTCTATCCAATACCAAATGATCATTCCCTAAAATATACATGTAAGTAATATTAAATAAACTGACCAGTTTATTTTAAT